TCTAAATATCTACTTGTGACCATAACAGCTGTTAGAACAACTCCTGGGCCTGCTGGATGTCAATGCTGATCTATGTCCTCCCAAGAGCTGCTCAGCCAGAGCGTCCACACAATTCCACCCTGGGGTGTGCTCATATCTCAGGCTTTGACAGGACGGGCCCAGAGCACGACAATCACCCAGCATTTGGACACCTCAGACTTTGCTGGGATGGGACCAGGCAGAACCAATGCTTCTGTGCTCAGCCATCCTTAAAGACCTCCACGCAAATTTGCCTTAGCCAAATTGATGGAATGGCTGAGGTGAGAAGGGACCTCAGAGCTCATCCAGCCCCACCTCTGCCACGGGCTGGCTGCCCTCCCAGCTCGGGCTGCCCAAGGCTCACCCACGGCCTCGGGCACCTCCAGGGATGGGCACCCACTGCTCCGGGAGCGGTGCCAGCGCTTCACTGCCCTCTGAGCAAAGGATTTCTCTCTCGCATCTAACCCAAACCTCCCCTCTTCCAGCCTAAAGCCGTTCCCCCTCGTTCTAGGCCTATAGGCCCGCCAGGCGCTGTGTGCCCAACCCGGCACCCCGGTTGCCCCCCGGCCGGGCCCGGCCCCGGCCCCGCTCAACGCCCGGTTCCCTCAGCCCCAACCCAACCCCAGCTCACCCCCTGCCCACCCCCAGCTCCGCTCCCCTTCCCACTCACCGCGGCTCCGGGCTCCCCGCCCCGGCCCGTCCCGTGGCTGCGGGCAGCTGACACACGCTGACCGCCGGCCCGTACCATCCCACCGGGCCGATGGGGGGTGGCTGGGGAGGAAAGCAGGCAGCTCCGCGCTGCTCAACGGCCGCCGAGGAGTGGGACGAGGATAGAGACAAAGCGGGACGAGGACGCAGCTGCCGGCCGGACGCGGGCGGGCTGCCAACGAAGCTCTCGGTGCCCTCTTCCCCCCCGCAGAAGCGGCAATGACCGCGGCCCGCACCGCCCTGTCACGGGGCTGGGCGCAGCCACTGCTCGGAGCGCAGGGGGGGGGACAAGAGAAGTGCCTGCCGACCCTCCTTCCTTCCCACGCTATGCCCCAAACTACCGCCGGACCGAGCACAGCAGATTCGAACATTCGACATCCCGGGCCCGGACCTTGGCCGCCGCCTGCGCTCTCGGCCGGACGCTGAGGGCAGAGCGGGGTTGCTCTTCCCCCCCCAATTCCCCGCCAAGTGGTGCGGTCCGCGTCGCGGTCACGTGACCGCCAGCCACGGGGAGAGCGGGCAGGAAGGGGCGGGGCGGCCATGCGCCTGCGCAGTGCGCTCAGCCCGGCGCTGAGGGGCGCCGCCTTCTGAGGGCGCTGAACTTGGGAAGCGGGAGGGGAGTAACGTGCATCTGCCTTTAGCGGCAGCTGGAAGCGCACACGGGTAGCTCCGATCCGACAAAGGGAGCAGACACCTCACCTGTCTTAAAAGTAACACTGTGCTACGATGTTGGTCCTCTGTTGAGCAGCTCCAGCGATGCCCCAAGGGCTCAAGGTCTGGAAAAGGACAAAACAGCCCTTCAACCTGGAACCTTTGGTGCTTTCCAGTCTCAAAATAAGCAACTGCTGGATTTCTCCACCAACCTTTTTACACTGGGGATGATCTCTAAGATTCAAGTCCTAAAGGCCCTTGCATTACAACAAAGTCATTCTGCAGAGCACATCTGGTAATACTGCAGGGCAATTGAACCCTGAGAAGCAGCAGCCAGGGCTGCTAACAATACAGCACAGCTCTGGGTACCAGAGCCACGTGTGGACTAAAACTTGACCTTCTGCTGAAGAAAACAATACTCAGCTGGTCAGATCACAACACAAAGATCAGCTCTGAACTGAACTGATAAAAGCCTGCAAATGTCTGATCCAAAGTCCATCTGATCCCAGAGCCAGTGCTGGCCAAAGGCCCGTAGCAGCACTTTCCAAGAAGACAGACTGTGGGCACAAAAATAAAACTGCTTGTTCTACTCGTTGAGAGCTCTGAGAAGCCACCAGAGCAGTTCCTGAGCACAGAGCAGTGCTGGACACGGACACCTAGCAGCCTCCTGCTGCCAGCCACAATCATGTCCCGAGAACCAACAAGAACAAAAGACCCCCCCCAAAAAACCTAGAGAAAAAACGCAAATACAAAAGCCCTACCATCTCATTCTTTCAGGCCAACCATTTAAGACAAACTAAGAATGACTCATTTGTTATCTTTATTTACCAATAGTACATTTAAACAACTTGTCAGGACTAACCTCCTCAGCTGGTGTGGCCATGCAGAAAACATTTCCTAAGTTACACAGATCACCTATGACAACACACACAATGGGTTGCAGTTGCACTGTCTAGTAGAGGTGGGAAGTTGCCTGGAAGGAGGCAACCTGAGTCATGCAGAAGCATGTGGTGCGATGGCAGCACTACAGGTGTGTTAGCAAAGGTCAGTAACTAGGGCTCCCATCTGAAACAAAAACAGAAGGGGTGCTTGTATGCGGATTCTAGCCTTTTTTCTTTGAAAATGAACAAAAAAACTTCCACATAATTTTATTACCAGCTAAGCATGACTGAACTGGACCCCCCTCCGGTGGCTAAGAACTGTAGTTGCAAGTCTAGGGCTCCCTTTAGAGCTGCACTTTCTCTCTTTGCAAATTATGATGCATGAAACTGCGAGTTAGATATCAAAGCATGCACTCAGGATTTTGTGAGCACATCTTCCAGCCATGCACAATGGGAAGAACTAGCCACAGGCTTCTGAGAGTCTGCAGTTCAGAGAAGCATAGCACACAGTGTTCTTACATTTGATCAAGGGTCCTTCCTTGCAATAAATACAAATTAAAACCGGAAAGCTCAAGTGTTCTCAAAGCGTCTCAGCTCACCACAGCCCATGCAATTAGTTCCAAGACTTGAAGGAGCTTCTTCATTAAAAAATGTGACTTAATTTCAACAGTATCTCAAGACACGCAGACGCTAGACCTTATGCATTTAAATCAAACCATTACTTAAAAGCCCTTCCCCAAAGCACTTCTGGGGAATACTTCCTTACAGGTGGGACCTGACTTCAAATTTTCCAACAGCAACTAAGAATGTGCCTCCTTAAAAAACAGATTAAGAAAAATAGGGTAATATATCACTTGAAAATACTACATAGATCTGTCTACCATTCCTTTTGATGTGCAGTACCGATTTATTTTATCTACGTTATGAAAAAAAAAACAGGAAACAGCTGCTGCTATTTACCAGGTGCATCTACTAATTTGCTTGTAATTCCACAGATATAAAGCCATTCACCAGCTCTCAGAATGTCCATGCTTACTAATAGGAACCAGCAATACGAAAGCTCAGCCACTGCAGAGAGAACATTTCTGGTTCTCCTCAGGCTTCATGAAAGCATTCTGCATACATTCTTCTCCTGGCAGGTGAGCCTTTGGCAATGAAACGTGAGCCATCACCATTTGTGTTTACATGGCAGTTTGGGATTAGTCATTTGCAGTACTCTACTGCACACAACTGTAAACATTCCTATAACCCAGCTTTGTGCCTGACCCCACAACAGAGCTCATCAGCCTTTAACACTTCTACAGTACCAGAGCAAAAAGTTGCATAAGCATTTTCAGCACTGAAATCACTGCAGGATTAACTAGGGGAAAAAAAAAAAACATTAAAAATCATATTTAATTACAAGACCAGTAAGGTGAGTTTAGGTGTAAAATTTGCCTTTAAGTATGCAAGTCACTGATAGGAAGCACAAATTCTCAATGGTGAACAACTAACACTATTGACTTATGCTGTGTTCACTACTAAATTGCTACTTTATGCTTTTAAAAACTTCGTTTGCCATCTAGAGAACAACACAGTCGTCTTCTAGAAAGCAAACCACTGCCACAGAGGCTCTGCTAGAATTAAGAGACCAGTTTTAAATGAAAACCCCAACAGAGCTGCATCTGCACCGGAAGCACAAATGGGTTATTTTCAACCACGGGTGACCTCAATACACACAAGTTTAACACAGCAAGAGCCAGAAATGCTTTGCTCCCACTTTGACACCTGACAAAAGCTGGCAGGTTAGCAGCAGCAAGCAGCTCCTATTCAGATGTTTAAGCAGGAAGCAGTAGAGGCTGAGCTTCACACATTCTGCCTTGATGACAGGTGTATGTATGCCTGATAGCATCAGATTTGCACTGATGTGAAGCATCTCAAAGGTGTTTGAACAGTCAGAATCTTCAGATACGTGAGAGCTACAGAAAAATAAAAGTCCCATTGATTTAAGAAGTGAAACCCTTAAAGAATCAAACAAAAATCTTTTTGTGTGAAATACTGAATTAAAACTAGATGTCATTCCAGCAAATTAGTTCCAAATCAAATTGTTTTTTATGAGTTGTATAGAGTTCCATCAAGAAGAATCATATTTAGAGACAAAGAAAGGATCGATAGCATGGCCTTCACTTAGAACTGATTTCCACCACAGAAAAACAGTGCGTGTTGAATATGTTGAATACCTTCATGCTGATTGTATAGGAACAAAAATTTAAACTTCTTTCAGCGTGAACAACTTCATATCCAGCATCTTCCAGAACACCCAGGTCTTCCAATTATCCTTGTTTAGGCCTAGTAAATTTGATCCAAGAGCAAACATTATTAGGAAGTATTTTGTACCAGAAGTTTAAAATCAAAACAGCTCTCATGTATGATTTCCCTAAAGCAACTTCTGCTTTTCAACAGTCACCTACCAAGGACTTGTCAACACCTTTCGAGAAGAACCTGGTTCTTATTTCATCAGTTGAGACAGCAGCCAACTACACTAAGTATATGCAAATTATGATGTAGAGAATTTAACTTAAGCTCCACCCCTCTCCCTCCCACCATACATATATCTGCACTTCGAGCCAAATTTAAATACAAAAGGAACCAGTAATTATCTTGTAAATGAACCAATGCGAGTTTGCATTCTTCCCTGAATAACACTTCCTTTTTTTTTTCCTGCAGAGGAGGAAAAAGGACTGCTACAGAAACACAGCAACATTCAAAACCTTTAAAACAAAAGGTAGATTATTTAATGCATTGACGATGTTAATCTGAAGATAAATAAATCCACAACAGACTTTTAAGTTTCTTTTGAGATTTCCTTTTTCTTTGCGGAGAATATTTCTGAAATTATACAGTACTGAGAGGGTGTTCTTTTATTTTCTCAATGTCCAGGTGAAAAGCAAAGCTCAGTTCTCTCTGCTCTCTTCATGGAACTCCTCAATGCCCCGTTCCAGGTGTGATTCTCTTAAGCTTTTACTTGAAAGCGGAGTAGTGAGCAATATTAATTTCAGGAATAACTGGATGGTTTGGTCCCTGAGTCATCTTCTTGAGAGCCCATACTCTGAAAGACAGAGATTTATTTCTTCAAAAACAGGTCTGAGGAATTACCTTTGAGACAGACTTTTCTTTGAAGTGAACAGGTATGGAAATTAAGTGGATATGAAGTAACATGCACTTCCTTTTTGTTTTAAAGCACCATGTTTCTGCACGTTGCACTGATGTATTACTACTAGCACTAGGAATGCAAGCATTCAGTACAATGTACTCACTACACTCAATTTCTTAAATATTCTGACAAAAGGTTAAGTCAATTACCTTCTGCACAAACTGAGGGTTCACAGTGATCTCTTGATCCATGGCTTTCAGTCGTTCATCAAGCTCTATACATTTCAGCATCTTAAAAAACAAAGAAACAACAACAACAAAACATACTAAGCTGACTGTTTTGTCCAGCTTGTAAAAGATCTGCTGATACTTTGTGGCTGTGCTATGGAGAACTAAAAACCTCTGCCATCACAAAAATTCTATGTCAAAATGCTCTTTGCCTTCATCTCTTAGATGAAAGCCTCACATCACTTTTTATTCCCTTATTTTAATTAATATCTTCCCAACAATCCTTTTTAAAGCCACTGATGGACAGCCCCGTGAGGTCAGTGACCTCAAACTACAGGCATATCACTGTCAACCAAGCCAACCCTTGAACAGTCCTAATCCAGCCAGTTTCAAGAAGTTCACATCATCAACATTAAGCAGCCTGTCTACTGAGATGTCTCAAGCTGACAGAAGATAAAGCAGGAAAGTCATAGCTAATTACTATCAATCTAGAACTTTTAAATGAGAAATAGTAACGATTCATAGCTCTCCATCCCTACATGTAAGTTACCTACGCTGTCTTCTCCCAGCACCTGATTTCAGACTATTCAGTAGGAACTAGCTATTAAAAATAACACTAGTTATTCAGTAGGCATTCCAGAAGCATTAAAATTCTTGCAGATTTACCTCCTGATCAATGTTATGAAGCATAGCTGGATTGTTATACTTCTCAGGATTATCGTGGAAACAGACCATCCCATCCTTCTGATTAATACTTGCAAAGATTTCACCATCTTCTATCTGAAATGAGAGAGTTTAAAATAAAGCATCACCAACAACAGAATTTCAGGTATCTACAACGCCTTGTGGGATTTCATTCAACATGAAACAGAACCATTCTTCTGCCACACACTGCCAAATGAGACAGTCTTACACAGTATCAATATTTAAGTTAGGACTATTTAGTCAAGTTGCAAGTCTTACCATGTGGAGGACGTACTTTTCTGCTTCCTGGGGCCCCGACAGCTGAACTCGACTTGCCATGTCTTGTAATGACAACGTTAAGAACGTCTGTAATTAAGAAAATGCCAAGCCACTGAAATTACACACTAAGATCTTCCCCTGCCAATCCTTCATGGCCCAACAGTCTTATTTTTGAAGTTGGATGGGATGAAACAGGCAGAACGCACAGCTGTTACTTACAAAAGCACTGTGACAGCACAGTCAGCTCTTACTCCAAAGATTCTAGTTTGTTATACTGTGCATGAATGCAGGCCAAACTCACAGAGTCATTACTTCATTTCTGCAATCTCTTTCTGTCCCTTAGGAGTTGTGATCATGTCCAACCTCTTACCCACATTCAAACCTAAATAAGGCAGCTGTCCACCCCTTGAACTTCCATCAAGAATTGCATACATTGCACTACTTCCAAAGTTACTTCTATTGCAGCAAATACTGTTTGAGCTTAAGAAAGAGAGAGCTTCCCCTGATCCCTTTTAAGGATTAATCATCTCTTCGGCCAAGGACCAGATCACTACATTGCTTCTGCATTTCCTTTAACTGACACTTCCAAAATCCATGCTATTCACTCATTCTCATCTAATGAAGTAAACTATGAAGTTCAGGTTTCCTATTTTTGAACAAAGATGGAGTTTTGGGTTATTAGTGTTTATGACCTTTTTGATTACGAACTAAATGACCGTGGGCTAAGCTCTCTCATTCCCTGTAGCAAAACCATTGAATTAGATCAGAGTATTGCCACAGACAGTAAGGTCTGGAAGCTTCTGTGCAAAAAGCAAGCAGGTAAGCAGACATACAGCTGGATACCACCGCCCATGGCTGTGCACAAACCCCTCTGATAGACACTGACTGAACCAACTTTGCACTAATGTTCAAGTAGCTAACTGAATTGGTTTTCTACCTAAAGCATCTGAAAGTCTCAGAATGGTTCTTCACACACACATGAATCTGTTTGTTTCCCTGCGACACGACTATGTTATCATTTTGCACTTGTGTGAATAAATTTCAACCTGCACATCTTACCCATCTTACCTTGGTTAGCCTCTGAATATTCTTTTTGTAGAGAGATGACAAGCATTGCTTAACCAGCCCCATATTGTTATCCCTTGTGAATGTTTCACTGTGTTTGTTCACCAGATTTCGAAGCTCCGAGGGTTTATTGGTAGAATAAACTTGTGCTAATTCATGGTAAGCATTGCTGAGGGGCTGCAATCAGAAAAATGAGAACTCTTCTTAAAGAACATGGTGCTCAACCAGCCTCACAAATTCAAGTCACTACTTCAACATAAGCCATTCAGACAAGAAGAAATTAAAGTAGCTCAAGTGCCTCTTAAAATCTAAGTGATGCCCATGCAGGTCCAGGGCAACAACAGATCCTTGTCCAGTCAACTGTATTAAAGCAGTGTAAGATCTAATCAGCTCTGTTCAAGGACCAGCATACAACAATCTTAGTTATTAAAAAAAAAAAAAAGAAGCAGGAAAAGAGCCTTTGGTTGACTATCAGATGACAAAAGCTGAGTCTAAGCTCAGCAGCATTGCATTCACAGTTTATTCATAATATCTGTTCTAATACCTAAGACACTGTCAGCCCTGATCCCTGTGAATCACAGCATGGACAACACAATCATATATGCATCACATATTCATACTGAATGGCATACTGAATGCCAAGTGAAACTTGTCAACTTTGAGTTCTGAAGTAAAGGTTATCAAGGGATGTGCAATATCAGTGAGGAGAACACTGCTAATTACAAAGTCCTATTCAACTCAAAAGACTTTTTTTTAAACAGAAAAAGATGAAGATCCTTATTTCCCATACGAACAATATTATTTATAATCTTTAGCCACAGTAGACTCGAAAAACAAGAATGTGCAACACTGAACAGTATCACCAAATCAGGGTAGAAAAATGCCAGCAATACGATTTTTATTATCCATGCCCTGTTCTGTGATTTAGCTGCTTTTACAAGACTTACCTTAATGAACCTACCAACTATCTGGGAAGTATATTTTGGTAGCTGTTGAACTTTGCCAAGTAGTATCAAAGAAACTAGAATATACTTTTTATAAGATTCCAACATAATATGACTAACTGCCATGGCTGGAGTAGTTATTGCCTAAGTGAGAGAAAAAGACATGAATCAAGTTTAATATTTCATTGGTAACTTGCAATAGCTACACTATCAACATCTCAGTTTAAAACTGTACGCACAAAGGATGCAGTGACATCTTAGATTCACTTTTGAGCATTACAGCTTAACTTCTATCAAAGGTAATTATCTGAAAACATCCTAAAAAAGTCCTATATGAACTACTCAAAACATCATATATTACAGTAATGCCTAACTTAAAAAACCCCGTTAAGATCAAAGCCCCTTTGTTTGATACGTATCTGAAGTTGTACTGTAAATCACCAGTGGTGCCTGTTACAAGGAATGATTACACAGCCCCTGTGAAAGCTGAATTTACACACATCCTTATAATATCCCTACGAAATCTTTCTATTATGCAACCTCTTATTTAACCACGATGAAAGAGGTTTGTAGAACAGCAAGAAGGGATTTTAGTTCACCCCAATGCTGCTACTCAACAGCTCACCCTTGCTTACAGAAAAGCACTGCACTGGTTTATTTTGCACATTTGACAGAAGGTTTTCTTCGCTGAGTTTTCTGAATTCTGCTATTCTCTCTTCTTTCATAGAAGAAAGTAGAGCAGTCATTATTATAACAGGCATGAAGTGTAACTTCCATAAAAAAATTGGCAAAGGTCAGAAGCAAAGCCACAGTGCTCTCTGAAAATGCACAGTTCTGAGCACCAGCCTGTTTCTGTGTGAGCAGTAATGAGTGAGCACTTGAAAATATTTATAGTGAGATAAATTTAACATCAACCTTTGAGTTGCATAGCTTTATGGTGCATTAGTTGCTTGGCTGGGACTTTCCAAGAAGATAACACTTCTAAATTCAGTTTGTTACTTCACTCTGTGCACCAAGAGTATCATTTAGTCTGGGCTCCTCATGATACAGCTGATAAACAAAAATGAACTCCAAGCAGTTTCTATACACAGTTATAATGCACAGCATACAAAAGCAAACCCAGTGTGAACGCTGAACAGAAGCACAGACCTCTTAATAGAGCTGCATCCTAAAGGTTAAGAACAAAAATAATCAGACTGCTTGTACTTGACACTGGGTGCACAGCTTTCTGTTTGTCCTTTGTGGCAATTTGAAGCTGGCTCACTACCTCAGTGCTATCACACATCCCCACTTTTGCTTTTCAATTCACCACAATTCAGACTGATGAGTTTTAATTAAAGTTACCTGTTCATAGAAGTAGAGTGCTCTTTCAAAGTTCTTTAGCCCAGTGTATATCATCCCACCATAGTAGTAATAACATAAAAAGTGCTTTGCATCGTATGCCCCATTTTCTTTACAAATATCCATCATGTCCACATCTAGATATGGGAGGGCAGGTTTAAAGCATTTTGCTAACAAACAGAGCTACAAGAAAACAAATCAAGTGTTTATAAATTAGCTATTTCAAATATCCACGAAGATGACACTGAAATACGATGCATTTAGTAGTATTTAATATAACCTCACTCCTCTGAGAGTTCAAAAACAGTGTATGTCACAGCAGAGGCATAACACACATCATACATTGTATTGTGGTGTTTGGAAAAGCACAGACTGTGAACTTTTAGAAATCATTTGAATCCTAAAGAAATCAGACCAGCCAATAAAGCAGCCTGAAACTCCAGGCCTTCCAGACTACCGTGCTGGCAGCACTCAATACTGCACTAAACATTCTCATCCAACTCTAAGTCCCAGGAGCCAAGAATGAAGTGCAAATCCAGGCCAAAGACATGGAGACAAGCATGCCTTTTGTCAAACCCGAGCAAACAGTATTTGGCCAGAACACTTACACTGTCTAAGAGAAGCTGTGCACGACTTCCAGCCCAGAGAGAAGGGCTTTCAGAAGTCATGAACAAAATCAAAGACCTGGGGACATGTGCTGAACATTTAGCAGGAAGAGAAGGGAGTTTTATTGCAGTATGCCATATTGCTGACTACTGGAAAAGAATTAAAAAACAAAATCAAAAACCCCAAGGCCACAATTCAAAGCTTCCTTTACGCTGCAATACGTGGATGTGCATTTCTCAAACAGCTGTAGGGAATCTACCAGCTTTCGCTCTCAGAATCAAGACCTTACCTGGCAGAGATCTGCATGTATTGAGGTCAGCTGGTTTGTGTTCATCTGCATCTTGTCTATGGCTTGTCTGAGAATGCTAATTCCTCGCAGGGGCTGTCAGAAATTACATCTCTTTCAGATAATTTCTCATAGATGGCAGCACATTGGATCTTATGTTGACACTTACAAATGAAAAATAACACTAATTGACAGGTTCCATTAAGTAATAATTAACTTGTGGTTCCCTTTTTGTAGGATATTGCAGTCACTCAGAAAATAAGATGAGCCTACGGTATATAAACTCCCCTGACAAACTGAACAAAGTCACCAATTCTGCTTCACAGAGACAAGGAAAGGCTCCTGCTTCACTCAGTCCTGATTTCTCTTACTTCAAGCTAGATTTAACTTACTTTTTCAGGGCATTTTCAGTATCTTATCCCTAAAAACAAACATCCCCTACATTTTAAGGCACTTCATTAAGCACGCTGTGTTAGACTGGTGAGAGGAACACTGAAATCTCTCTGACTCATTGGCTCTGTCAGTTTGGGCAGCTCTCCCCTCCTCACACACCATCTGAATAACACACCTGGTACACCTGACTTCCTGGTTTGTGTGTGAGAGCAAGGTTTTAGCTAATTCCCTCCCCCATATTTTAATGCCTATTTTCCTTAAGGAGGTTTTAAAATCTTCTTTTAGGTTCGTTACTGCTCAGTAGACTTAACATACATAAGGAGCCACACAAAAATACTTCACATGAAATTAGCAGTAAATCTTTATGAAGCAAGTAACGTCCCTCTTAAGAGCCTGGCTTTGTAGGTTCCTTATTTGTATTAGCTGATACTTGCTCACCTGTTTTCTCTCCACAAGGGCATTTGTTAACTGGTGGCACAGGCCAGCAACTAAACAGAGAAAAACAAAATAATTCAGTCAAAAAATAAAATCAACAATACCAAACTATATCAATACACACAAAGTTTTTCTATAAAGTGCTGAATTAACTTACAAGTGTCTGTTGCATATCTGATGTGTTCCCCATTACAAGTACTGATGAAGAGCTGCACCTGTGAGAATAACGTTTCGAAGTCGGGGATGCTGGGCATAGAAAACTTCACAAACCTAAAACAAGACCCCCAAAAAAGTTTAACACACAACAGTAAGAGATTAATTAAAGAAAAAAAGTTTTATCTTCATCAGTCTCTACAGATACAGGCAGCTGCTTGCAAGAAGTGCCAAAGTGGTCATGACAGATGGCATATGATTTCCCCAGGAACTGCACAGCACTTGGAAGTACACTTTTAGTGCACAGTCCTACTATGAGTCTGGTGACAAACCAGTTTGGAACTATGGCCAACAAAGATCACTTTATCTGCTACAATTATAATCACAATAAATTGCTAGCAGTGAAATTTTTATACTAAACCACAGAACTTCTCCAGACACCTGCTTGAATGCGTCAAAGATTTTTCAACTATTAAATGATCAGACTTGTCTGTCTTGCTAAAAGCTCCTTCATTTTCAGCTTCTCTCCATCCCTGCAGGCTCCTCAGTACCCTACAGGCTGCAGCTGCACACTGCTTCAGTTATGATTACACTATCTGAGTGCAATGAGAACTCTGCACATGGCTTCATGCTTACAGCTTGGCTCACTCGTGTCCTGCCAATTAAAAGTTTTTGCTGAACTGATAGGTAAAAACACTCATACAGACATAAACAACACAACTAGATACAGCCTTAAGGAAAACAAACCTCCATTTGGCAGTAATGACAGTGTAAGGCTCCAGATTTTTTTCTGCTGAAAGCAGGAATTTGCTTTAACATTTCTTCTAATAAAAGGCACGTCACCAAAGGAAACTAAGCACTACTCTACAACAGACTGAAGATACTTGTGTCTGGCTCGCAATCCAGCATGTAGCTTGAAATTCTGATGCTAGAATGCTTAATTAAAAGAAAGCCACACTTACAAGACAGCAAGAACTCCTAACGAGTGTTCCTGCACATCCAGGGCACCAAGCACTGTATCCAGATGGGAGAGGTTTTTCGCTAGCAGTTCTCCGCTTTTATTGATCAGCTCACAAAGCTGGGTCATTTGCCCTGAAATGAAAAGCATCCTTGTCAGACCCCACTTAGAAATCACACACACATTCCCACGCTTCATTGCAACTTGAATCCCTATTAAAAAATAACTTAAAAAGTCAGGAAAACGTAGCATCACCCAGCCAATTTCCTGCTCTGCAGTACGTGAGGCATCAGTTCTCAGAAAATAAGTGACAGGTAAACTTCTGACCGCTGGGACAGCAAAGGGAGCACGAGCAGCAGCATCAATCCACCTCACTACAGGGGGCTTCAGGATCCCATAGCAACAACCAGCTCTGCTTGAGCCAAGTCTCCCAGACTCCAGCAAGTTTTTGCAATGCCAAATTCTCTCTAACATGAACAGAATTTACCTCCACCTGTGCCTTCTAGTCGTTAAAAGCAAAAACATATCTACCAAGAACAGCGTCCTCCCCTTTCTGAAATAATAATAAAACCACCCCAATACCAATGCTCCTTAGCATTCCTCAAGTGCCTTATTCACTTCTCTGGGCTGCTCATTATTGATTTCAAAAACCCTGCAACTGAACACCTCCAATAACGGGGTTTTCAAAATCTGTTCTTAACTTTACTTCATATAATTATTACTACAGCATTGTTCTATTCATTGTGAACTATAAACACAGCATGAAATGTGACTACTTTGAATAAGGAAGGTATGGTAAGCCCTCACAAATAAAGCAGTGACTTCCCTCTTTATTATAACAAACTGCTTTCAAAACCCTTTCTTTTTTTCTCCTCCTTCAAAACTACAGGAATTAAAACCACATCTTTCTGAAGCAGAGGATTGTTAAAGTGTTCAATCCTTGTTGATTATAGGAAAAAAAAGCAGAGGTCCTTTCACCCTTTACAGAAGTCTTCATGACCTGAAGAATAGTGCCCCCATTCATAGAGATTTACACCATTCTCAAATTTCTTGGCCTTTTCCTTTGAAAACAAAGACGAAACCGGGGAGCCTTACCAATGAAATGCTAACACTGAAGTAAAAACAGGGATCAAAAGGTCCATAGGTGGGACCACAGACCAGGAACCCCAGACACCCATCCTCATAACATCTCTGCCCATCCAGATTGCAAACTCCCAAGACAAGCATGGAGAGAAACAGGGCCTGTAAAATCTCATTTGGCAATGATATTCAAGCACTGCAAAAGGTCAGTTCTGATGCCCTCCCCAGCAGACAAATCCTCCCATTCTACAGCCTTCATCCAGCATCCTCCCCCCATAAAAACAAACAAACAGGAACCAAAACCACAAAGAAGAAAAAAAAAAAATCCAACAAACCCCAAATATGCTACATATTAACAGCATGCAAGTGGAAGACCCACACAAGGCCTCACTACACGTCCATTTATGTCATCCCCTGCGCAGTTTAGCACTGACAGCCCAGGACTACAAGTACACCTGATTCTCCCACTGCAGTCTGTGGTGCCTGCACTCACTCCTCAAAGACAGCACCTATCCGGGCAGCCCCCAATGGCAGAACTTCCATGAAGGCAGCCAGCTTTCCCCTAGAATAGTGTTCACCTTCAAAACTATATAAGAACTTGCCAGCTAAACTAAACCACACAAAAAATCTTCTGTAGTCTGCTAAGTACCTGCATCTTGCATAGATACAAACTGTCTCCAGCATCTGCTATCCTCAGTAAAAATGCTACAAATTTAGTAAATTAAAACCAAAGCATGACAGAATCTACACTCCACCCAAAAGTAACTGCCAGAGATAAAGCCTGAGGGCTGCAGAAGAAAGCATGAATTTCTGATTGCTTACAGAGTGCAAACATCCACGGAACACTAGGATTTGGGAGGGTCCTCTGGGGACTCCCAAGTTCAATCCCTCTTAAGGCAGGTTCTCTACGGCAGGTTGCACAGGAAGGTGTCCAGTTGGGGTCTGAATACCTCCAGAGGAGACTCCACCACCCCTGGTCAGCCTGTTCCAGTGCTCTGCCACCCTGACACTGAAGAAGTTCTTAGGGAGCATCCCCACAGAAAGTTCAAGAAGTACAAGACACCCACATGTGGGGTAATGAGAAGCTTGGCAATGAAACAGTTTACACAGAAGTATTAAAACACCTTCTGAGTGCTGTGTAATGACAACCACGAGGCAGCCCCAGGCCTCTCCCCTTTTCCCCCGAGGTACATCAGACATCCCAGCAGCACTGACAGCCCCTCAGAGCCCCAAACCGGGAAGGCTGAGCTTTCACCCACAGGAGCCAGCACTTCTGAAACACATTCAAGCCCCACTTCCCTGAAGCCCCCCTATTTCCCATCCCCCTCCCAAGGCTTACGCTCCATTCCAGCCGCTCCTCGCGGGGCCGAAGCCCTCCCGGGACCCCCGACGGGGAAACGAAGGCCTCACCGGAGCCACAAGGAGAGCTCCCGGCACGCTCAGAGAGTCAGAGCTCCGCACCGCAGGGCCCAACCACCGCCCGAGATAAAGCCACGAGAGACCCGGGCCCCGACCCGCTCCCCACGTACACACGGGGCCCGGCGAGCCGCACTGGCCGCCGCTCCCCGCTCGGCCCCACCCGCGGTTCGCACCCGGCGGTCACCTTGGGCCGAGAGCTGCCGGACGCTGTTAACGAACTGCTCCAGCGCCGACGCCATCTTGGCGGCTGGCGGCGCGGCCGCGCGCGCTACGGGAGGGGCGGGGCGGGCGGCTGCGAGGGGGGAGGGAGGGAAGGGGCGGCGCGGGCCGGAGCGGCGGAGGGAAGCGGGAAGGAGGCTCCGCCACGGGCGCCGCCGCCACCGGCCAATCAGCGGCCTCTGCGGGAGTCGCGCGACGCCCGCCGCCGCGCGTCACTTCCGCTGTCTCGCGAGAGCAGAAGCCTCTCTCCCCCGCCCGTCGCGGTTGCCGGGGTAACCGCGGCCCAGCCGGAAGCACCGCCCCCGCGCGCACTCCGGACGCGGGAGGCCATCTTAGCGGGAGAAGTCGTGACTCAGCAGGGCCGCCGGGCGGGCGGGTGACGTTGCGGTGACGTCAGCGGCCCTTCTGTGTCACCGCTCCTCACCGGCGGGCTGCTGTCACGCTCGGTCTGCGCCTGGCACAGGCCTGCTGCGGTGAGGGGCTCGGCGCGGCCCCAGCCCCAACGGCAAGTCCCTTCTGTCGGGGCAGCGTGCGTTGAACACCTGCGGCTCGGATCTGCGCAGTCAGATCTGAGGCTTTGACGGCACGGCTTTGGTCGGAACGGCCCTTAAGGACAGGAGTGGGGCTGTGCCTTTCCTGCCGCGGTGCGGTGGCTCAGCTCGGTGAGCGCTGTCTGATGAGGTGCAAATAGCGCTCCTGAACATCAGGGGACAGATTCGTTCCCCTGGCGCCGGGTAGCAGTGATGTTCATTCGGTTTGTATAAGCTGAGCTGCTGGGGCTGCCAGGCGTCCCGTGAGCAAAACTTTGTGCTTGTCAATGAGAGACAAATACGTGCTTGGAGAAGTGCACTGAAATCCCATTCGTTGTGAGAAGTAAAACGTGTTCTTACCAGCTTGAAACTGCACGTTTTCCCTGTTCAGTTTGATCAGGAATTCTGTCCCTCTGCTCACTCGCTGACCCTTACTGGCTGTGCACAACTCACTGCCCTTTCTACGCAACAAGGACAGCACGCCCCGCTAGAAATTATTCGGAAATCGGAAAACGAAATATTTTGGTTCTGCTAAGCTGAATCATTGCTGTCTGACAAAATCTTTTCATTCCCAACTCAGCAGCTGCCTAATCCTGTTAGTCACACTCTTGATGCCTCCCTGCTCTTTATAGCGGCCAAGCGCTTTCTGGCCGTGGTGATCTCTGGTCCTGTGTCAGAATATGCAGCCCTTCCTGCACGCTGTTTCTATGTCAGTGCTTCGTTCTGACACCTTGAGTCCCTCCTTTGCACGGTCGGATGTTTCCCAGCACTGTCTAAAGAGTTCTTCTGTGTCCAGGTATCTTCTTTTAAACCTTCACATCACACGGAGCTGTCACAGCAGGTGACATCCTGGGCGAAGTCTAACTCTTCCCGCGAATTGGTTCAAAGCACATTAAGGTTTTGCTGCAAAAAAAACACTGCATGCGTTACATCTGCACCCGTGTCTCCTGCACGCACCCCAAAACACGGTGGTAAAGGCAGCAGGGAGTCAGCAACGATGCTACTGCCGACCTCGGGGACCGCAGGACGAGCCGTACCACGGCGGGTGGGCAGCAGCCCGAGCCCCGCAGCCCCCCGGCACCGCGGGGAAGGGGAGGGAGCGCGGCTGCAGCCGGCTTAAAGCGGCTCGGAGGGACGGCCGAGCCGAGCTTTGCAAGGCGCTTGTGCCGCTTTAAGGCGGTGCCGCCGTTCCGGGCTCGCTCAGGCACCGGGAAGAGGAACTGGGTTTTTGCACTGCCGGGTCGGGGCGAGCGCTCCGCAGTGCCCCGGCCCGCGGCTTCCCGGGCCCGCAGCGCTCCGCTCGGTGCTTGCTGCATGGGAGGGATGGGTGGGGAGGAGCTGGGGCGAGGAAGAGCCTCTGCACCCCATTGCCTCCCTCCCGCATCCCCTCCTCACCCCCTTTGCATCCCCACATCCCTTCTGCACCCCTTTTGCTTCCTCTCCTCAGCCCCTCTGCGCCGGATTGCAACCCCCGTGCTTTTCCCTACTGCAGCTGCAAGGGGACTTGCTTGCAAGAGCTGTCTGCTTGCAGAGTGCGTGCTTGAAATAACCTCCTCCTCTTCTCCTTCTCCTCAAAAAAAGGACGCCCCCAGCCCCTCTCTGCCATGATTTTGCTGAGCAGCATCTTGCACCTGCGGCCCCGGCACTGCGGTCCCTTGGCAGGGCTGGGCAGGGGATCCAGCCCCACAGCGGGGTCCCGCAGGGCGCTGCGCGTGCTGGTGGACATGGATGGGGTCCTGGCCGACTTCGAAGGAGGATTCCTCAAGAAGTTCAGGGCCAGGTATCCCGACAAGCCCTACATTGCCCTGGAGGACCGGAGGGGCTTCTGGGTGTCGGAGCAATACGGGCGCCTGGCAGCTGAGCTGAGCGTGAGTCTGTGCGTCCCCCTGTGACCCGTGCAGGGCTGCGGTTCGCTTGTGGGTGCAGGGAGGGTGATGAGTAACACGCAAACTTAGGGACATGTCTGCATGCAGCAGTGCTTTGTGTCCCCGAAATCCAGCACTTTTAATGCACATCTCCTTTCCCTGCGTGTGTGGATGGAGATGGATACAAGGACTACAGTGGTATGGTGCCTGCGAGAAGGGGGGCGTGCATGGGGCTCAGGCTCTCCCATTGGCAAAGTCCTAAGCAGCTTGAAGTGCTGAAGGATTGATGTGTGCTCTGTAGTTGGGGTGGGTGGGAGGGAAATAAGGCATCATCCATGCAGTAATGTGGATGATAAAGATGAAACAGACGTACTGCAGGATGACACTTTTTAGTTTTCTGAATCTCAACTTGTTTGAATGTATTAAATGAGATAAGGTCATGTCTGCACAGTCATAAAACCTCCATATCTTGGGCTGAAATAGCAGATCTCCTAGAGACCAGCCCTGGGGCAGCTCTGCTTCCGTCTTGCTCCCAGATCAGGGCTAAGAAGAGCAGAAGCTGCTCTGTGGCTGCAGGAGCATGGCATGTTCCAGCCCCCCTTCATTGGTGAGCACCATCAGAGGAGACTGGGAAACAGGATGAAAAGAGCCCAAACAAATGGAGAACAGCAGCATATAGCGCATAGAGCATGGAAGGGTGGGGAGTTCTGGGTGAAATTGTTCATGGGGAGAGAGAAGCAGCAGAAAATTGGGGTGGAAGTTTTCAGAAGGGCCCATCCTGCTTGGTGCAAGGTGGGATCTCCAGGTTGGGGAACTTCTTCTGCACTGCCATGCTGCAGGGAGCTACTCTGGCTGTAAGAGCTGAGTGGTTTTTTTCATCAACGTGGGCTCAGTTCTTCCCCCATCAAGCTTGATTGCAAAATGCTTTTTGACATAAGTGGAAGCAGAATAGCTGTGGAAGTCATTGCTGTAAGAAAACACTTCAGTGCAGTTTGAATTGCTTTGCTGCATCAGGCCACATCTCTCAGATGTCTCTTGTGCAGCTACATTCAGTTCCCTAGAAATAAAACATTGCCCACCAATGTGAGGCAGAGCAACTGGAGTCTGAATGTCTGCCTGGACCATTGGCGAGCTGCTAGGCTGTTGGTTTTAGTTCAGGAATTTAAGTTCCTTTTCTCCCTGTTTCCCCTCCCCAAATATAGCAGCGGAAGTGCTCAGAGTCAAGACCAATCTTTCAGGGCAGGGCTCACGTCTTCTCCCAGCTGCTCAGCTGCATTTTAACTCTGGGACATGGCTGCTTCCTGTGCATGCGCTCATGCTGTTCCCAGGCTCTCCTCCACAAGGCCCCCATGTCTGCAAAATAATTGCTTTTCTTGGCAGCTGCCAGGCTGCTTCCTATTTGAGGGAGCTCTGGATGCTGTTCCTCAGAGCTGTGCAGCAGGCTCTGCTTTTCCCAAGGCTTCATTCCTTGTGGTGTCTCTTTGCTCCGCTCTCCCTTTGGACCAGACCAGTACAACATGGCTGCAGATCTGGATGTTATGTCTTTCAAAAACCATTGCCTGGTGTTGTTCTGTTTGCCTGGGCATCTCTGAGGAAGACTATATGCATTCATTCTGGCATATACTTCTTCCTAGAATACACTGTCTCCTATGAGAACAGCCTGGCTGATATTTTAAGTGATCTAATGGAGATAAATAGGGCAGAGAGCATCTTGACTTGAACTGCATCACACTGGAGCACAGGAACCTGCCCACTTCAGATGGGTCCACATGGCACTGCTCCTCCAGACACAGATCTGAAGTTCAGTTTGGTGCTGAATATTCTGTGCTTTGAAGCAGCTTTCTCCCCACACGTCGGGCTGCACAGGCAAAACTAAGCCTCCAACCTAAACTGTACAGGGCAGATGCAGGTCACCAAGAGGGGACCAGAGCCAACTCTACCCCATCTAGCTGTAGATGTCCCTGTTAATTGCAGGGGATTTGGGCTGGATGACTGTTAAGGGTCTTTTTCAACTCAAACCATTCTATAACTATGATCTTTCTCACTGCTTCCATCCATGGAAAATGTGCTCATGCAGAGGAAGGAGCACCAAGAAGTCCTGTGCAGTTACAGCTCTCTTCCTTCTCGCAGGAGAAAGCTATCAGCATCTGGGAATCCAAGAACTTCTTCATTGAGCTGGACCCACTCCCTGGCGCTGTGGAAGCTGTGAAGCAAATGTCAAATTTGGCAGAGTGAGCAGGAACCTTCTGTGGTATTTGGGGTTGGTGGGGGAGCAGCACTGGCTTTGCAGGCTGATCTGCCTCCTGGCAGCAGTGCTCAGTGCAGTGTCAGTGTTGGGAGTGCTGGGCATGGGAGGAAGAAGCAGAAGGCTTGCTGCAAATCAGCCACGTGCATCCCT